CCCGCGTACGAACAATCGTCGTCCCATCACCGGGGGACCTCGGGCATGTCTGTCACGCGTGCGGTTCCCCGTGCGTGCCCGTGTAATTTCAGGCCGCGTTCATTCCCCGACATCGCAAGAGGAACGACATCGGGAGCACGTTGATAGAAAAAATTCTCGAGAGCGAGTACTCTCTAAGAAACACGAAAGAAAATGGCATCGGTAAAATTTTCGATAAAACGAAAAAAACGTTGCGGCAATCGCGGTTATTGAAGCCATTATCCTCAACGTTTAAAGATAACAATACCAGAAATCAATTACGTGGCTCATCCTTCATAGGTTTGTATGTAGAAACTTGAGGAAATGTATATGAAATATTTATTTATAGGCACGCGTTAATTTTCAGATCTGCTAACTTTAGATTATGAACTTCATGCATGCCAACGAGCGTAAAGTCCGATTAACAAAAACGGAGTAATCGCGACGTTTCTATGTAGATCGAAGGTTTCTGTACTTCGTAGAGGTTACAACTGCTTTTATTATTAGCAGAAATTGCATCAAAAATTTCCAGTATCGCGACACTAATCGGATTTTCCTTAGGCTAATCACGTTTGCGCATAAATATAGATTTTTCCGTCGCGACACGTTCTCTTCTCGCGCGTGTCGTAAATATCGCTATGATTTTTAATAACCGCCGTTTCGCCTCCCCCTCCCCCTCGCCTCTTCGCGGAGCTCGTAAACAAAATAATTTAATTAAACACCCGCACTTAATGCGAGAGACGCAACGTAGGTTCTCGTTAAAACCGGATACGGATCACGAATTACGCAACGCATCTGCGACGGCAGGAATTCGCGCTGCACCTGCGAAACGCGATGTCATCAGACGTCATCAGCGAAATTCTTTTAGCCGGACGTGTGCGCCTATACGAGAAGGAAGATTCCGTTCGTGCCGCGATGATTTTAACATTTTTCCTTTGAACATTTGATATACGTGTGCGTTTTATTACGCGCACGCAATATAACGCCTTCGTCGACTTTGTTCCCGGAAAACACACGCATCGCGGTAGGATGTAATTAATATATGATAGCAAGGCCTCTCGCGATCCGGTCTTGTTAAATATAAATCGCAAGTTATACGTACAGACGACGAACTAAGCGAGCAGGTTGTTGCTGTTTTCCTTTCGGTTGCACCTGCGTCTCCTTTTATATTCCACGCGCGCGTTTCTGCGCGTGTGGGAAATAATAGACTTTTTGCAAGTGCTCTCCGGATACGGTAAACGATAACGTCGCGTCGAGTGAATCCAGGACGAAAGTGTGTTGCCACGACGATCTTCGCGTTGTTCCGCGTCGAGCGTTGGGACCTTTTAACGCTCACGGTATTCAACGCGTACGGTATTGCGGAAACGCACTGGCGAATAGGAGGAGACGGAGAATATACCGGCGTCGGGAATACCATTTCGACGCCAGATCGAAAAAGTATAAGCGACACAGCGAGGCGACTCGTAGACCGTGAAAAAAAAACCGAGAAGCGTAACCGGGGACGACATTGTCAAAAAGCGCCGAGGCCAATGTCCGACGGGGTGACGATTTCTACGGACGTGTTTTCTAGGATGGATCAATATGTATGGTAATGCGGCCGACAGTACAGGTTGTACACATCAGCATCGTCGACCTACGTGCACATGCGTCCGTAGCTGTATTATGTATGCGCGCTGTACGTAGGACGTGACTTCTCATATACGTATAATAAACATGTTACGTAGCGGCCTACGGAACACTCGTACACATGCATGTACGTATCGTGGACACGTGCGCGCGTATTTATCCTACGATGTATTAACATCGTCGAGGTATTAAGATAAGGGGTCGGTGCGGTTTATGACAGTCAGCAGGTCTCGCTCGCGGGACAGGAATCACGCGGTGCGGCATGACAAAGCGAAAGATTTCTTTTTAATTAGGGGATGTATAATACATCTGTAGATTAAATTCTTATTCTTATTATTTTTAAATTAGTTTGCATCTCGCTTCAATTTCTCCTCAAACGTTTATTGCAGTATTGCTTGTAAAAACGTATATATGATATGTGTAAATGTATAAGTGGATTCTCGCTAAACCCAAATGACTGTGCGGATAGTTATCCCTGCGGGATAAAGCGAAAGAAAAGTTTATCGATACGGCGCCGATGGAGGCGATAGCTTCCATAATGATGTATACCAAGATAAAATGACTTAATAAAGCTAAGCGATCAAATAAATTTGTTTGAAAGATAGTTAAATAATTTTATTTTATAATTTTATATAACCATAAAGAGTACCGAACATGTACTATTATGTGTTGAAAGACGAATATCCTGTCAGACGCAGCTGCAATAATGCTAGCAATAAAAATTTATAAAGTATTAAAGAGAAGAGCTCGATATATGACCACGACTACGATCCTGATGAACCATACCATTTTATAGGAGGATTTAACTCTATCAAGTTTTCATGATGCACAGTCGGGACTGCAGACAATTAGTAACCGAGTTACCGAGATATTTCCGGTCCCATCGGGACCGAAAATCGAAATCTACTTTGATGTGCAACAAAATGCCGCATGTTCGACGAACTTACAACGAAGGAAAATTGAAGGAAAATTGAAGGAAAATTTTAAGACATCCGCAGCTCTATTAACCATCCGCAATGAAATGCGTTCAATTTTTATCTCATTTAAAATTTTTACGCAGACGAAAGATCACAAACGAATTAAAGACACGGATTATGAGATTCTTAAAAAAAAGTTCTATTTAAAATAAGCTCGATAATTTGACCTCATTAATTGATTACTTGCGCACTTATATATCTGTATGAAATTAATGCTTTTAGAAGTTCAACATAACTAACAAGAATTATAGTTTTCTTCAAAGTTCTAAAATTTTCAACGCGTTTTAAAAGGCATTTCGGACAATATTTATCACGTATATAATTTTGTCACGTAGTATAACGCAATAATAAAATATTTAAAGCTATTCTCTCTTTCTCTCTTTCTTTGTGGGAATATAATTCGAATTTCATTCAACCGGCGGTGTCTATAAATATGTATGTATTATACGCAACATGTGTGTGCAAATGCGTGGTCTCATTTCGGCTCTCGAAATGCACGATAGAGTTAATTAGCCTATTTGCGTTTGTCTTATGGTTATTCCGGGTGAAAAGTCTCTGACCGAGACTTGTTTGATACCGTGTTTGTTTTTTTCCGTTCGTTAATGCTGGCGTATAATGACAACGTCCGTTGAAGCAATAGTCGATTAATTTCAACCTTAAGAGACAAGATTTCCCGGATACGTATTGCGCGCGTCGATGCACGGGTAATGAGCTATAAAAAAGATATAAATGCCTTTGCGTTATATATTAAATAAATTTTCGTGGCAATTTAAGTGGCTAATAAACTAATAATGTGCCGCTATTTATGTAATTTTCTAAACATACAATAATATATGTAAAAGGTATTAAAAATATATAAAATCGTTATATCTTACAATAGCAAAATATATCATTAAAAACTTTTAAATATCTTTTTCTTTGAGACATTATATATATGTATATATATATATATATATATATATATATATATATATATATATTTGCCAATTTAAAAACTCTTTACGTTTATGTATACTGCAATGCAAGCAGATAATATTTTTGGTTTAACGTTCTTAAACTGTGACAGCGTCGTGCTTTTAAGAGCCCACGGTGACATAAAAAATTTCAATCTCGACCAATAAGAAGACAAGTGTCGCACATTTCGACCGTTTTACGCACCCGCGGAATTTTACGCGGATTCGAGACTGACGCTGTGGGATATCCTCTTAGAAATGTCTAGGGAATGAAATCCGAAACGCCCCGTGAGAAGCGTGGTAATTACTTTTGGATTCTTGCGACGTTACGAAAATAAATCCGTTCTTCTCGCACACGCGCGCGCGCACGAATGCCGTTCCCGGTAAGCCTTTGTGGTGTTAATGACGAACACCACGAGGAGAAATTGCACCGGGACATCTTTACGATCGAAGCCCCGGCGCGCGGGGCTGAAGATCAACGACACGAGCGGACGACGAACACGGACGCGCCGCACACATTACGAGATTTAATTAAAGTGCCCGATGTATTTATCAACCCTCCTTCCTGGAAGCAATACAATCCGTTTAAGAAAATTCGTTCTGCGCGTTTCCTTGGCAAGACACACGTCAGCGGGATATAGCGGAGCAAAACCAAGATGATCACGTTGGACGTTTCAATATCTATGCGTTTCGAAAGGGTATAAGACGACTCTTTGACTACGTATCCTGCAGGGTATTCGCAAAATACGTCGATAACACTTAAAATTGCTGCACGCGAAGCTGCGCAAAAATATTGACGCTAAAAATGTTAACGAGCTCAAACGAGTCCGCATATTTTCGCGGTCGTACGAGAACGAGAAAGGCAGACGGGTTAGCGTTTTACATAACGATTTACGAGCCGATACACTCCATATCGATTTACAAGCACGGAATCCGCTCCTCGGATATGTTTGCGTCGAGCTTGTTAGTTCGACTCGCGAGAGCAAAAAGCCGCGACGAACCCTTCACTTTCGCGTGAAATTTACGGCGAGCGACGACGGCGCGGCGCTCGCGCTAAATCAAAAACAGAATTTTTGTTGCCGCGGCTCGACTCCGGCTACGGGAGCAAAGTACAGGTTGCGGGGCCAGTCCTTCCCCGGTGGTGATTACGATGAAGAAAGAGGAAGTGAACGTCGCGCGGAGGAGGGCCGCGTTTCCCCGATTGCCGCCGCGCCAGGAAGGTAGGCAGGCATACCACTCTTGCACCAAGGGGGTATTACGTAACTATAAATTTTAATTGAATCCGCGGGCTGCGCGGCTCCCCTCCCTCCGGCGATCATCTTCTGGCAATAAACGTAACGCGGGATGTATATACCCGCGTGCGCGAGGGAGGCGCGAGGGGGATGCAGAGAGAGGGAAGAGGGATTAACAACTAGTTTTCACTCACCATGCAGCTGCGCGAGCGACTGCAACGTGTTGGCGGTGTTGCAGTTTATGAATCCTGGAACAGAAATAGAGAATGCGCCGTTAGGAAAAATAGCTATTATTTTAATATCTGGTTATTAAGTGGGAAAAAGAAATAATTGTGAAGGGACGCTAAAAAATGTATTATAACCGTATAAGATGCTTAAAATTCTTGAAATAGCATTAGAGCAAGACATACGATTGATAAAAATGGATTTATCCTTTTCTTCTTACGACTAATTAACATTAATTGCATTAAGTTTATTTCTTAATTTATTTCCAAACCTTAATTTGAACGCGCAAAATTATTGAGATATTTAATATTATGCAATCAAAATCCTATAACATTAATTTATTCAAGGTTTCTAGATCCGCAAAATGTAATAATATCGAGAAATGTATACAACTGTACACTGTGCTATATAATAATGAAAGCAACGGAAACAAAAATTAATACAAATTGATCAATTAATTGTGTTATATAAATATTTAGAAATTGTAAAATATAACGCGTAAATACAATTGTATAAATTGCGTACAATACGTCACGTAATTAAGCTGTAAAATGACACAGACACAGGCGGGGCTACCCGAAAATTTATTGGAGATGGATTAATTAATTAATTTCTCGTATTATCGGACGTATCATTATCCCACAGCAAAAAATAACATTTTGGTATTGGCTGATTGCTGATTCAATACCTCTTTCACTGTCCTTAATAACATATCATTCTCTCGCTTTCGAAATTACGAAAAAATACATAAATGTGCATTTATATCGTCAGATGAAAAATATTTCATATCGTCGATAGATGAAAAATGTCGTAGAACACGTGGTCTTCATTTTTAAACATCGACGTTGATTTCACGCGTGTACACGCGCACACACGGGCGCACACGTCGTGAGCTCTCAACACCGGTATACGTATGTATGAACGTACGTACGCTTCGTCGAACATTCCCATGACATAAGATAACCTCTGAACTTAAGGCCCTCGGTCCGACCGGTCGGGCCCCAGCCCGCGCGAGCGCCCATGATGGAACATTGTGATTTAGGAACGTCGAAACGCGCGTCGCGCCGTCGTATTTCCACCTCCGACAACCTTCCGCTTTCTTCGCTAGCGCGACGACGACGCGCTTCACGCGCTTCCCTTGTTCTCCCCGCTCTCTCATCGCGGATAACCTTAACGTTTAAGTTTTAATATGTCTTTTATATTCCCTTCGAGCCAGGTGAGAGCGCGACGTTAACGGGCGGCGACTTTCACGCTAATTAGCATGAACTTGTCCGTTTGCGGAGGAGCGTCGGGCGAGACCGGTATCACGCGTGTCGTAAAACGACTTGGTCAGACATGCTAAGAGCTTGTCGAACCGAGAATTTTCGGAGCACCGTGGAGAAACAGGAGTCCTTGACTATAAGTCAGTCGATAAATATGTTCAAGACTTTACATAATATCGATCACTGACTAATATCTCATTTGTCTTGTGACAAATTTGACAGATAAAAAGGTTTCCAAAGAGTTTGAAATATTATCAAACGTTGAACTTACAGAACCATTCAAAAATTTTTCGAAGCCATCGAAATTTTTTATCGAACGATCACCAGATACCGTTCGACAGTTTCGTTCTATTTTCTAGAATCTAGTCATCCGGTATAACCCATGCGTGAAGTATCTAATACGCTAGGTTTCCGAACGGGAAGGTACAATTTCTGTCTTCTGTTTGTCTGTCTCGCGCGATAAGATTAGCGTGATCCGAGAAACGTGGGATTCCTCGACATATGCGGAATGTCTCGCGAGTAACGACCGGGATTACAAGTGCGAGTTGTACGTATATCGGGTAGGTAGGTATAATCGTGTTAAACGGCGATTGGTAATGCGCGTTCTGGGAACCGATCCGGGATGTTCCACTTGGCGATTCGTGCGCGTATTACTACCGTAATCCACCACCCTAATCATTTCTCGTGCCAGTGTAAATAAGAACGAGCCGATCGGCGCGGCGAAAACGCGTTATCTCGTCTTTGAGGATCTAGTCACGCAACGTACAATGTAACTCTCCCTATGCAATTGCCCCTCCTCATTCGACGTATTTCTGCGATTGATCGATCATAAGAAACGTCGAGGGCTTAGCACTGCAAGCCAGTTAAGGTAAACGTCCCGGTGGCCGGACACGTACCAGTGTCCGACCACATTGGAGAAAAATATTTACTATTTATTTGAACAACTGAAAATAAAAATAAGCTTTTTCCCAATTAATCGATAAATATTAAAGTTTTTTTTTACAATAATTATTATTTTTATTTTTCATTGTTCAAATAAATAGTAAATATTTTTCTCCAATGTGGTCGGACACTGGTACGTGTCCAGCCACTAGGACGTTTACCTTAGCTGATTTTCTGATCAGGGTGTTTCTCGAAATGTATTTTGCTTCTTTCAAGTTAAGTGCACTCTGAAAAATTAATCGCGCGAAACTAAATTAAGGGATGTCACTAATTTCGCTTTTACAGATTTTTTGAAAATTGTTTTAAGTGTAATATACAATCTTCCCAGATTTAAGCAAAAAATTATCGTGAAGAATTTTTGACAACCATTGTTGTGGCAAGATTTGTCACAAATATGTATTGATACAGGCAAGTGTTTACCTTCTTCACCATCGAAATGGAGATATTAATTCGAACGATGTGTTTACACCCGTCTCAACTTCTTTATCAGATATATCCTATTATTTAACAAATAGGCGATACGAGTCTTTACATCACTTGGATTGACAGGACATTTTTTTCACCTTAACTTCGAAGAAAGTATGCCGACACGTGAAACGTTGACGAGAGAGAAAGAATAAACAGATTAATGACAAGGTCTGATCAAATATTTGCCAACAACGCATCCGTTCCATTCGCAATCGATCGACATTATTGATCCAAAGCTAAAAAAAGAAATAAGATTATATAATCGATCCCAATTTGAATTCTGAGGATGCCCTACGGCACATGCACGGTGAGTACGTTACGCCAGCGCGTGCCTGACAGTGTTTTCTTCTGCAGACTTCCGTCGGCACATCGTAACTAATTTTCTACACCGTTACAATAATAGCAAGCGCAAGCGCAAAAACGTTTTCCGTGCGTCCGGTCGACGAACTTACGCATGGCAAATAAAGTAGCGATATACCATTTCACGTCGCGTGCGCCACGGTAACTGCAGTTATTATCAGAATTATCGAGACGCCAATCGCTTTTCATTCTTACGTAAGCTTTGAAAGTGTAAAAATATAAATAACAAGACTTCATTCATCGATTATTCTTATCTGTTTATCCTTATTCCAATTTTCACACAATGATACTTTTAAGTATATCGATTTCAAGCAAGTTTATAGTCTTAATTCGCGCGTGATGTTCCTCCAATAAAAATATTTCGATACAAGGTTGCGATACAATCAAAATTTCCTCGAGAAAGTCGATTCCTACCGCGTTTATCAGACAATCAAAGGTGCTGTCATTACCTGAGCGTCGACAATAAATATTGATTGTCTGAGAGTAGCTTGAATAAAGGTGCCTGTCAACGATCGCGCGTTCAAAGGCGGAGGAGCGAGTGAGCGCGAGCGAGGAGTGTGGAAGTGTCGTTTTCACATTTTGCGAAATCGCGTCGCGTCTACGGCGCTCTTTAAAGGTTGATTCACCGCCGAAGAAGAAGAAGAAGAAGAAGAGATCCGCCTGCCATGCTCGTGCCGGCAATAACATTATCCCTCGTCAATTTGCCCCACGGATTTTACTTTCACGGTGCGTCTATTCACGTATCGATCGCTATTATCGATGATTGGGTCAGCACGTGCGCGCAACCTGTTCGCGCGGCGCTAGCTAACAATAAGAAAAAAATTAATTGCGAAAAATTGCGAAACAAAGTCGACAGGTGTAAAAAATTATTATTTTACCGATGCTTTCAGTAAATATTGTATTCTATCGAGTGCATTCTTCGTTCTGTTTCGATAATACAAATATTTTCTCGATATGCTTTCTTTTATTGACTGAAGCTATTGACTTTTCCACGGCTATCATTTCCTACACGATAGTTATCAGAACTATGCGCGGAGGAAGGAGCGCACATAGGATTCACACGATTATCATCGAGGCAATTCGCAATAACAAATGTAATAGTTTTAGAATTTCACGATTGGGTATATATCAAAGTGAAATCTTACAGGATAATAAATGTTTTATAAGTGCCGTAAACTTCACCGTAAAGAAGTAAATTGTTAATCCGCAATCGGCGGACTCCGCGGAGTCCGCCGTGTTTTAAGAGGTGCTTAATTACGAAATCTCGACGAGAGCCCGACTGACGAGTGGTAGCGCCGGCCGCAACGAGTACGCTGCGTGGCCATGCGGAAAGGCGAAGCCGACGATGTTCTTTTCCCTGGACGACGACGGGGCTTGGCTACCTCCGGTTACACCGTCATTATTACGATAGCGGAGACCTTATCTCGTTGCGGGTTCACCGGTAGCCGTCTCTTGCGCGCCCGCACGTTCCGCGCGCGCTTGTGTTGCAAAACCCGGAGGTATACTCATAATTCGACGATCTTATCTCTCTCCCGGCGATATTAATTAATTTGATGGTTACGTGTCAAAATACCGGGAAGGTATCGACGGCCTTGAAAAGCGGGAACGAAGGCGCCAAGCGCTTCTGACGTAATCTCGTTTTCGCGGCGGCTTTGCGTAATCCTCTATCGGCCGCCTTCGTCTTGTCGAGGGACGGAGCAAGTGTTCAAAAAAGAAAAAGTAAAACACAAGACACAGCTTTCTCCCGAGTGCGAAACGCCGAAAAGAGACATGTGAAATCTAATGGTCCCGAGCGTGCGCACGCTTCGGATCCTACGCGATTGTGCCCACGTGCCATGCTTTAAGTACACTCGATTATTCGCTCTTACGAAAAACGGGGGAATTACTTGCCGCAACACTGCGCGTCTTTGTAGAATTGCTCCAGTTCTCAACGGAGAACGAAATACGAACTTCTACATTTATACGTCTTAATTGCCCCAGCTATTGTCTTC